ACCGCCGAATATTTCCAATTTAAGGTATAAGAAATTGAAATTCTTAAGCGTCGTGGTAAGAATATTGGTTTTAGATTGGTGGTATTGGCGTGGGAAAGCATATGAAGAAGGAAGCATCTGAAGCCATGTCAGATACGGGTACATCGTTTATTGGTGGTCCGAAAAGTGAGATTGAAAGGATTGCCAAAGCAGTTGGAGCCAAGGTTTGCAGAATACTAATCACAACTTGTGTATCAATCTTTATTTTGTTTCATTTAGTACGTAGAAGAGTACGAAGTTTATGAGATTTCTTGCAATGCTAAACCCCCAAGTATCAACATCTACATTGGAGCTAACAAATACTCGATAGAATATGCAAACTACATAGTTGACGTAAGTTCAGCACATCAATGCAACCAACTTTTGGCTAGTAGCACTTTTGCAGGCTGGTGACGGCATGTGCATTCTTACACTATTTGCTGAAGAATCTCTAGGGTTTGGCCCACCTTGGCTTCTCGGCGATCCCTTCATTCGCCAATACTGTAATATTCACGACATGAAACAAAAGAGAATAGGATTTGCAAAGCCCATTGCTAAGTAATCGCAAGGGAGCATTAAAGTTTACTTTGTATTCATTAACAATGAACGGCTTTTATTTAATTTTTAGAAAGTATAGATGATGGAATTTGCTTTGAAACACAGTTTGAAATAAAGTTTTAAGTATGAAGTCCTTAAGTACCCGCATAGATGAAGCGTACTTGGCTCCGAGAAGATATGCTCAATAAACGACTTGAAAACGACATTTCCTCTTCACTTCGTTGTAACATGATGTGATTACGATACAATTGCTAAACCTTTATTAGAAAATGTCGAATGCCCAGCCAAATTTTACTGAATTTGGTGTAATTGGTAACTGATCTTTCAAACGGATACTCAATATATTCCACCCTTTCAATAGTGTACTCAATACGCTCACCGCATGATCGGACTTTACTCTATGTTACTAGAGCCCAAAGCGTAAAAAAACAGTTACATTTACTTTGAACATAGGCGCGAGAAAATCATCGCCCTTTACCTAAGCGTTTTTCAAACTTCACAAGTTGCGCGTTTATTTTTGCTTTAGAGATA